TGAGGTAGATATGTGGGGGCATGTTAGAACGAGCCGTTTTAGAGTCTTAACTTAGATAAAGTATATCTCTTTGGTTTTGAGACTTTAGTCTTTGCAACTTCAGGAATCTTATCTATGCACAATCAGCTTGTAACACTCCTAAGAGAAAGGAAAACTTGAAATCGCATCATATGACCCCTTTAAATGGCATGTTATACCTCAAGTAGTTTTACAAACATGTCAAGAGGCTGGCAGAGAATCTGTTGTACAGACACAGGTTTACTTAGTAACTACACACCACAGATAGTATTTGGATACATCATGGACCTCAAAACAAATTTCAACACCACCGTGGACAATTAAATTGCCACAGTCAACAATTAATCAAATTTAGTTTTTACACACTGAATCCCTTATGTAAAACTCACAGTTAATAAATGACTTGGCATCACGCTTCCAAAAGTCATAGATCCTCTTCTGACTGTTATTATTAATTCGTCATTGTCATTAGGATATGTCCCCAAAACCTTCAAACTGGCTGTTATTAAGCCTCTCATCAAAAAAACACAACTTGACCCCAAAGAACTAGTTAATTACAGACCGATCTCGAATCTCCCTTTTCTGTCCAAGATACTAGAAAAGGTAGTATCCTCACAATTATATTCCTTCTTAGAGAAAAATGATATCTGTGAGGATTTCCAGTCAGGATTTAAACCGTATCATAGTACTGAGACTGCTCTAATTAGAGTTACAAATGACCTGCTCTCATGATCGTGGTTGTATCTCTCTAATAGTGCTACTGGATCTTATTGCTGCGTTTGACACTATTGACCACAACATTCTTTTGAATAGACTAGAAAACGTTGTTGGCATTAGTGGAAGTGCATTAGCATGGTTCAAATCGTACTTATCTGACCGCCAGCAACTCGTAGCAGAGTCATTTGGGGTACATGTCATGTCCATGGACTCTATTGTCAATTTTACAAATTTTTCAATAACTTTTCACTTCAAACAATGATCACTTTTATATCAGGGGACATTTCTAATTAATTTAATACAAAAATCCAACAGATATCCATCTTTTATCTTGCAAAAATGGCATATTCTATACTGGAATTTGCTGTTTTTGTGCTGTATGATTTGGTAAATATGAGGTTTTGCTCTTCAGATTAGCACTAAAATACATGTTTCTGTATATATTTCTTATAAATATTTGTCCAAAATAATCGTTAAATTATGAGAAAGGTGTTTTAAAAAATATTTTGCTCATGCATCTACATTTAATCATCCATTTTGTGTATGTCCGAGAAATCAGTGTCAACTGTGTTACTCCCTATAAAACCCCCTATAAATCAGCAATGGTTTGTTCCAAAGTCACATGTCCAACAGCACATGATGTATTTTCCTTTTTTGGAGGGAAATTTGAAGACAGTGTGGAAAGTAATAACTTCTCCTCTTCAATATTTTATCTAGATTATTGTCTGCACATTGAGTAGATTAATTGACCATCAACTGTGTTATCAACATGTTCTAGTGAACTTGCGTCACATGTTATATTTATTAATATATAGAGAAAGAATATAA